AATTAAGATACGGTTTCTATTAAAAATAATTATACGATATTGGATTTAATTAGCATGTTTAAATTTTCAGGCCAACACGGCTGAGATACAGCATCGGCATACTCAACTGGAGTTGTTTTCTGCCGGTCGTAAGTTCATTGTTTGACTGAGCACACTCGTGTCGGGGTTGCGATATTTTCTTCTCTTTGTTGGCAGCCTGCCACCGGTCTGAATTTTGAGAAAGGTCTCAGCATGGGACTGTTAATTACTTCTTAATGATGTCTACAAGCTTACAAACTTGTAGATGTTGGGTGTGGTTAGGACCAAACTTTTTCAGCTCAGATTGTTAGTGGTCCTGGAACCCATAGTGTCAAACAGGTTCTGCACAAAACGTCCATCAGATTCTACTGTTCAGCAACATTGTCACTGAATTTCAGAACTCTGGCATGATATAATAATCAAGGATTTCGAAGGTGAACGAGGGGAAAGGCAGACGCACGTGGATTTACCCTCAGGTTATTATTGTCTGGAGTTCATATTTTGGGGCATTTCATATACTAATTGAACAGAGTTCACCTGCACATGTCCACTTTAGTGATACAGACTGTAACCAAAAATGCAATGAGCCGTAGCTCTTAATCCCTTATAACAACGGTAACAACAACCAGGGTGAGGACACAGTAAGGTTAAACCGTGTCCAACAGACAAACTGAGGTGGCTATCTCACATCAAGTCAGCTCTGTTTTTAAGCGCATAGTTATGTTTTTACATATTGAAATAAAAGGAATTTAAAAAATTATATTTAACAAACCTACACATTACCAAATACAAAACTTTATAACCCTTTCTAGACTTCGTTCCAATTAACCTGGATCATTCAACTCGCTCGCGAAGGTCGTATGCGACTTTAAAGTGAATACGTCTACAGTGTACAAGTAACTTTTAACTGTATCATATATACTCACGACAAGCAATTATTTTCGTTCCTAATTCGAATGAGCACATTCTGAGGCTAAATCTGCAAAAGGACAGATAAAATATTTCTTTGTACAATGCAAACGATACAAACGTAGCGGCTGATAATAGAGACAATGATTTAATAATCTGCAATATATCAAGTGTTCTCGTTCAATCTATTGTACATATTGAAGTGATTGTAAAGTTTCAAGGAGTACTAAAATGTTGTGGTATTATGAATGTATTTAGAATATGAATAGCGAAAAACAGTCACCATATCGGATGTACATGTATAACTTGTCTTCCAACACCACGCTTGTGCCGAGGCCCATGGTCATAAAACTAATCGGTCCCATAAAAGGAGCAAATAGTTTCGCAGATACTTCTTGCTATGGTTCACTCACAATTGTCAGACGACCTAATCATCAGTCAGACCAGTCAAGTGTGACCAGCGTACCTGCCTGGTTTTGGCTCCTAATTACTGAACTGCCCAATACTTTCATACTGTGGGCAAAGTAAGCGGCCTCGTTGAGTGATACAGACTAACCAGATTATGATTGTGTTTGTAAGTTGCGTTTAATCTGTGTCGGGTTGCAGTTGTTTTATTAGTCAAGACTAGGGGTATTTTTTCAATGAAACCTTTTAGCCGTTGAGTTTGTTTTGCATTCATTTCATTAAATACATTGTTAGGTAGAATAATAACACGTTATAAGGATTAAACATCTCCCTAATCTGAGTATAATCTCACATGTACTCTAAGTACCGTACTATATTACTTTGCGGAGACACTGAGTATAATTTTTTAGTTGGCATTGTATGCTGTCTGAGGACGTTATACAAATCCCTGCATTCAATAGACCCGTGAAGATCTTCAACAAACCATTCTTGGCGTAAAAGGGCGACAGCGCTTGTCGTAAGAAGCGACTACCGGGATCGGGTGGTCAGGCTCGCTGACTTGGTTGATGCATGTCATCGTATCCCAATTGCGTGGATCGATGCACATGATGTCAATCACTGGATTGTCTGGTCCAGACTCGATTATTTACAGACCGCCGTCATACAGCTGAAATATTGCTAAGTGTGGCGTTATACAACTAACAAACAAACAAAACACAAAAAGAGAAAGTGTATGAGTACTAAAACTTGCAATAGATATGCGTACCCTACGTACACACATGAGTCCCATTCGACAGTCTACAACACACGAATAACTGTCAAACAAGTTTGGGTACCCCTTCTGTTCAGGCAAGTTATTTAGTTCGATTAATTTTGTATTAAAATCCTTTTCAATTTGTTTTCATCCTTTGTCCCTATTCCATGCATGTTTATGTTGCTACGTCTTATTGCTCATGTTTCCAAGTATTGTAAAACACTTTAATGTTTCTCCTTCTTAATCTAACGTTATAACATTTCCGGTCATTGCCATCATCTAATACACAAGAGATGATACCAAGACATATTTTATTCGGTTTTATGGTCTATGCGGTCTTACAATTGATTTTATTAGTCTTTAAATCTTATGTCTAGTAAATATTTTCACAAACAGGGCTGTTAACTGATATAAGGAATGTGACATCCAGTTGAGGACTGAATAAGACGTACGTTAGTCTGGTAACGACATTTCTACAATAATTTTTTGAATAAACCGTAAATACGCCAGTTGTGACAGGGATGATGGTATGGTAGATGTAGCAGACATATTGACAGCCGTTGTTACGAGAGTCACTAGGTTATTAGTACGGCATTGGCCTTGTTGATTGGTACTATACTTTCTGTGGCCACTGGCGGACGTAATTCAAACTCCTTCCACACTGACATCGCACCAAATATATTTGTGTACCGATTACATAACTCTTACTGACAGGGTAGGGTGGTAGTTCACGCGAAACGGACGACACTGTGTATATTGAGCGGCTCCTTTGATATCGCCTCACAACATACTTTTAATGAATGACCAATTAAACGATGATACACATCAGGATCGCGGAGAAAATACAAGCTTCGTTCGCGTTGAATATATATATCAAGGCACAAGTTCATCTTTCATAAACTTTTTGTGTCTTTTGTGTCAAATATATTTGTGTACCGATTACATAACTCTAATGGACAGGGTGGGGTGGTAGTTCACCGGACGACACTGTGTATATTGGGCGGCTCCTTTGATATCTCCTCCAAACATACGTTTATTGAATGACCCCATTAAACGATGATACACATCTCGATGAATATATCAAGGCACTAATTCATCTTTCATAAACATTTTTTTGTCTTTGTGCTTAATATATCCACATATCAACGAACATTTGTAAAACATGTATCCTAAAAAAAATAAACATTTTCAGGCTAGGTATTTGCCCACAGCAACACCTGCATAACTGTTTATTCACGCGTGGTGTGGCAGATTGTAATTGACCGACAACAAGTATTGTAGAATCACCTGTAAATAAGGCCGACACTGTAATTAGACACAACGTACTAATGAGAATATGAGAATTATCATAAGAAGGCTGTTACGTTTTTCTTAACTATTACCATTTTCATACCAAAAGTGACAATGCAGTTAAAAGTTGCTTTAGTGTCACAATATTCACTCACGTTTTCCTCAATCGCATTGAAACATAATTCCCACTGGTCAGTTCGACACTGCTTGTAATTAAATAATTATTTCGAGATTTCGTTAGAATGTAAGATATTCAGCCAAACGTTATGCAATAAAAGACGAATAGTTTTTTTCATTAAAATACGCGCACGCGTACCTGTATATTGCATACCTAGTGTCACGTAATTGCCCAGTGTGATGTATCAACGGGACATAAAAAACGGGAAATGAAATAGAAACTAACTAAAATTTAATGTTGTGGAAAATAACTCCAATGAATTGGAGTACACGCACATGAATTCGTATGATAAACTGTAAAAACGTTTTGAGAGGTAAGGCCGGGTTCATTAAAGATCGCTACAAAAACATGAGTTTTGAGTAAAGGAACATGTTCTCGCCCATGGGCCTGCCCATGGGCCAAACCTTTTCTCGCCCATGGGCGAAATATTTCAATATCGCTATAAAATCGTTGAATTAAGTTAAAATGAGTTAAATTTGGTGTCATGATACTTGAATGAATACATTAAATGTATTTGCGAAACAAAAACATGAGTTTTAAGTAAAGGAACATATTCTCGCCCATGGGCCAAACCTTTTTCTCGCCCATGGGCGAAATATTTCAATATCGCTATAAAATCGTTGAATTAAGTTAAAATGAGTTAAATTTGGTGTCATGATACTTGAATGAATACATTAAATGTATTTGCGAAACAAAAACATGAGTTTTAAGTAAAGGAACATATTCTCGCCCATGGGCCTGCCCATGGGCCTACCCATTGGCCAAACCTTTTTCTCGCCCATGGGCGAAATATTTCAATATCGCTATAAAATCGTTGAATTAAGTTAAAATGAGTTAAATTTTGTGTCATGATACTTCAATAAATACATTAAATGTATTTGCGAAACAAAATCATGAGTTTTAAGTAAAGGAACATATTCTCGCCCATGGGCCTGCCCATGGGCCTACCCATGGGCCAGACTTCGCCCATGGGCAGGCCCATGGGCGACATAGTCTAAATATTGAGTTTTTAAACAATTTTTTTTTCATTTTTTCTTCCTTGGTATGTTCCCATGAAAACGGCATGTTTAATTTTGTAAATACCTTTAACCGAGACTGGGCAAAGAGCGTAGAGTTTCGGGACTTTTGGGTTTCCAGAATTAAAATGGGACGTGTTATGTTAATATCACAACACCATGACTGGTTTATGCAAGAATTAAGTTTGTATAACACTATCGACTTTATCTCCGAATGTTGTGTTATTATTCTGTTCAAAGCATTATTTGACTGGGATATCACGACACAATCATAAAGTCTCTTGAATATCAGTCTGACGTTTCTCCGAATCGAAATTCGAGTAAAATGTAATTAACGAGTATGTCCAGAGCCACACATGCACTTCTTTCAAAAGAATAAAATAACCATGGAATGCAGCTGTCAAAATGAACACAATACATGGATATGTTAGGTACATTTTATTCATTTGTTGATGTAAAGAACAAATCAATACACTATAAAAAACACATTCATACATAAGGCATGACAAGCATACGTCTCTAGTGGTAGTAATAGGGACTGGCTTTGCCGACGAACGACCCAGCAACTCCATGACCAACAAAGGGTCCACCATGTCCATAAACACCGTGTCCGGCAACTCCGTGTCCGACGAAAGGTCCATGTCCAGCAATGGCGCCAATGTGTCCGTACAAACCCTGTCCAGCAACGAAGGATCCATGTCCAACGAAAGGTCCGTGTCCTGCAAGACCAGATCCATGTCCAACAACGAATTTGCCAACGCCTTTACCGTAGCCATTGTTGTTGTAGTTGTAGGGGCTATAGTCGATTCCATAAGCCTTTCCAGCACCAATGCTACCAACGCCTTTACCGGAGCCGTAGCCGTTGTAACCATAGTTGTTGTTGTATGGGTTGTAGCCATAGCCTGTACCAGCAACGCCAACGTTGCCAACGCCTTTACCGTAATCGTAGCCGTTATAGCCATAGTTATTGTATGGGTTGTAGCCATAGCCTTTACCAGCAATCTGTCCATTGTTGAAACCTACACCGAAAGTACCAGCTCCTTTGTAAATGTGAGACTCCTGGGCCAGGGCAGAGCCGACCAGCACGGACAACACAGCGAAGACGACCTAGAAACAAAGAATCAGTTGAATCTGAAATAACTCGGTCATGAAAATACAGCATATTCTTAAAAGTGTTCACATGATGTTTGAAATGAAATAACATTTCACCGATGTCCGAAACAAACATGGTCGATGGGTAGATAACTTAAAATAAAATTGCCTTGAATGCAGTTCTTGTGGTTGTATTTGATTTTTAAAAATCGAACCTGGGCAAATTAATAAATAATTCCCAAAACATAACAATTTAAGAACGCCTAGGTTAGCAATAATTCGAGTCTTTGTGAGAATCGTGCAATAAAATACAAAGTATAAATAAGAATTCTCATAATTTCGTATCAAGATGTGATCAAAGAGGTATCGGCCACCAACTTCATGACTATTTTCTCATTGGTATATCTATGAGCTTTTCCAAGTTAATGTCCATTCATAAATCATATAAAGATAAAACACAACATTGTACAGTCTTTTCAGGTATTTAGTTACCTCCGTCAATCGCATTTGCATTATCCGAAGTCTTAAATGACAAGTCGTTCTTGGGAAAACTAAAAGCATATCTGTTCATAACAAGTGTCAATGTTTGATATGACATTGGAATGAGAAATAAAGTAAATAAAGATCGACTTAACGAGATTTCAGCGCAGAACTAAAAGTTGGTACATTTGTGACTGTACAATGCATCAGTCTCATACTTTCCCCAACACTAAAAAACGGTCAGTTACAGGATTAACCAAATTCCCCCCAAATGCTTCAAGTTTCAAAATGTGATGAAAACAACTGCATGTCGTTCATATTACCTTCATGATGAACAGACTTGACTAGAAGATACACCAGTGCTTAGATGACAGATACCACCACTATGAGGTCGCCTCCATATATACGTACCCTTAGCATGGTCACGTGGTCGCTGCCCACAAGATTATCCCGTTATACGTGCACCACGTGACCCTATCATTTAACGACCGTATGAACAGTTACGTAAATTAAAATTAATTTGATCAATCGGAAATGTCAAGTCAATAAATTGATGAATGAAAGCAAAATGATGATTTCATGACTGAAATAAGAGTAATGGAATAAACTTCTCGGATTATAGCATTGTCATTTGGCCATTACCAACTTTAAAGTCAGTCACAGGAAGTGAACAAGAAGCCGAGTATCTACAAACTTTAAGGATAGAACACATTCCACGCAACTGCAACCCGTTGACTATGAGCGGTGTTATCAATGTTTGCTTGTTTGTTTGTTCAAGGTACATTGACTTATGTGATGCAAGTTAAGGACTATTTGTGTCAAATTGCAATCGTATACAAAACAGTTTTCATTTCTCAGTGTTTGTTCAATTAAACGTAAATACATTTGGTCTTCTGATATAACATGCGATATCAACGAAAATAGATCTGTCACATGACATGAAACAGCAAATCAAAATGAAAAAGACGGATTTAAAAAACAACCCATACACGTCTGTGCCATTTTAAAATGAAAATGTGAATGCAGTGGTGTAAACAGTGATTTTGTGAAATTATATTTAATTTTCCCTGAGAGAAACTGTAACTATAAATCTATGTTTGTTTGTTTGTTTTATTCTATTTTCGGTTTAGCTACGAAGTCATTAATTGCTACTGTCAATGTTTTACGTTTTTAAAAAATGTTTCTTGTCAATAGGGGACTGACATAAATAATGAATACAATAAAGCGATTCACATCCCTACTGAGATTATGGACACAGGAAATGAGGCGGATGCAATCATTACGAAATATAGTATTCACCGTCATATATACTTAAATCTATCCCCACCGGAGGCTAATGAGGCGTAGCGGCGGGCTTAACTGTTGCACCCGAATCGCAGCGTTTTGAATTCTAAATAAATGAAATAAATATTCTAAATAAACTAAATTAATAATTACATATAAATATTATTATTTAAATTATTCTTTTAACTATATTAAAATAATTTTCGTGTACGAAAACGAAACCCATGCATCCCAACACTCACACAACTTATGGCTGCTGCACAGTTGCATGTGTATTCAAAGGAAATAACATTTCGAGTTTGTATCTTTACCCTGCACAATAGGCCAGTACAGTCTTGAACAGAATGTGTTTACTGTTTATGTGCCGAATTAACAATATCACGACGGGGGACAGGATTTATCTGGCGATTTTGAAAACATTTTTTCTTGCCTTTGTGGTAGTCAAAGTATACTTTCCAAATAGGTTGTATTTTACATTTCTTCGTGCAGTATATTTTATGATAAGATTTGCAAATGGTATATGGATGCTACACACATCTACACGGAATTTAAGAAAACTGTCAGTTGAATGATCAGATATTCTGTAAAATGGAACCTTATATTTCTCTCACGTTTACTTTATCGGTTCAAAACCGGTCATAGATTACACCTTAGTATTGTATTAAGTGTATTTATTTATATTGTAGATAGTGAAGGAAGCAATCAGTACATTTAGCAATCACAATTGACCCGGGCCTTGTGATCCATTTCAGGTTGTGTTGCCTTTGAGCTTGTAATTATGCATTTGAACCTACCAGAGTACTAGTTTAACTGTCTCAAGCCTACTTTAAATTCAGTGCCGTAATTTACAGTCTAATAGCCTTTACCTTTCTCCTGTTGAGTTCATTGACCTATGTTATACGAGTAAGATTCCATGAATGGCAGGGCAGTACATAATTAAATGCAACAGATGGAGATGCATGTGTATGGAGTCTTGCTGGGTTTTGACATTACCGAGGCCTTGTTGGGCAATGGAAACATTTAAATGCTTCTTCAGTTCCCTCCGTTACTAGGATATCGGAAAATATAATTACAATGAACTGTTAGGCCTCATTTTGTGGTGACCACATTAAATAAAATCGTGATTTTATATTGTCAGTGTATGCTCGTGAATCATTTATATTCAGGGAGTAATTATATTAAGGCCTATGATTACTCTCTATAAAACTGATGCTTAACCATAAATATTACTTTAACGCCATGTGACTCGTAGATACGCTTTGTTCAAGTATTCACTTTGATGTTATTGTGTTAATGTGTGATAACGCTCCACGCCCCAACCGCGCCCTCACTTCATCCCAACAGACAAGTCAAATCACCTTCGACATCCATATGTATGATATTTGATTACGTTCTTTACGTAATTAATTATACGTTTAACCCAGCCAATTAATACAGCTGTTTTTTAACACTTCATCGCAATCATTGTTCACGAAATTTGTACATCTTGAGACGGTTTTTTTCTCGAATAATACGTGCTAATATGTAAAGCAATTAAACAGTGTAGATAAAAAAAATCACGTGGATGTAAAATTAAAATTGTATATTGTAATGTTCTTTCCGAAACTGTCCATATGGTGTGAATTTTATTTATTTTAATATACAGTGAATGAATATAGTTTTTAGCAATATCCTAACAATATTACGACGGGGGCAGAAGAGAAGGGATTGACGCATTGTACCTATTTGTGGAACCGGCTCTTCGGCGTGACAAGCATAATTCACTTGGCTATCTTCCATCCAGCTGTTTGGGAAACAATGGCACTTTTTTCCTGTTTTTCGTTGTATTCTTGTTTTATTTCTAATCTTTCTAAGATGTTTCAGAACCTGTAAATTGGAAACAAAACAATTTCCATATTCACACGAAATCTCTGCTAAAAGCAGTCTTTTCTACTGTTCCGACTAATTCATGAGCAGATGCTTATGAATCACATTAAGTCAATGATGATATACGTATAGAAGGATACGGAGAAATACGTCTCCATGCACGTCATGCCTACATGTTGGAAGATTTGTTTTGATGCCTTCTTCGTCAATCATTATAAATAACACACCATTGACGCTTCTATTACTATATATAAAAGTCATTGGTAAAAATGTGCTAAATTGTTTTTAATATCAAAGTTATTTGGACCTCGTGACGAGTGGGTGTCTATATTTGACATGGAATAAAATTAGGAAACCAATGGCAACTTAATGACGTTGATGAAGATGACGAGATGTCACTGTATATTTAAACGATTGAAGGTGACTACTCAGGAGATACACCTACTGTGTTTTCAATGTAGAGCTAGGTTACCTGAAGATTTAAGCGCGCTATATTGAATTTGAAACCGAACACGTAGCGTGACGTTTCAAATGTTAGGTTTAACGAGGTACAGGTAACCTAACTCTACATTGAAAACAGATTAGGTGTATCTCCATTCTACCATGACTTAATTAAACGCGAACTCTTTGGTGATAGCAAATACACTGAGTAAAACAGCGTGGGTTTAGCCGAGCGCTTTGAGTGGGTTGTCGATAAAATTTTACGGAATCACCGACAAGCACTTTAAACAAAATATGGCGCACTATATGTCCAGCAGTTTGTTAACACAGTGATGTTTCACTCGAACTTATGAAAGTCACTGAAAGCATGTGACACGGCAACTTCGTAAGCTAACATGAGGTGGGAATCCCTAAAGAATACTAAGCAAGTCTTGCAAAGGTCTCGTTCTATAACACGCGTCACTATTATGACGTCACATCGCCCATTGTGACGCAAATGATATCACGTCACAGTCGTATATAGAAAAGCGCCAAATAGCAAGGTTTCTGTTGTCGATACTTGAAATACATTAGTTTCTCTTTGGAGATTTCAATAGTGCTTCCTGCACGATACGTATTGACCTACATCTTTTGAATATTGTAGTAACCGCAAATTTACATTTTGTAGCCTATAATTGCACATATAATTATTTAAATATGCCTACCGACAATGACTGTGAAAGATGTTATTGCACTATTCTAAAAATATTGGCCTCCGCGGTGATGCGGCAGTCATGAGGGTGGGGTGGGGGAGGGGGCGTTATTGTGATTTGAAACCTCTGACTGACCAATCATACTCGAATATTGCCCAAATTCATGATAATATAATAACTAATAAGTTGGAATGGTTGTATGGTGTATCTCATTATATCATCCCCTAAATGGGTGTATTTACTCATTTCCGTGAAAACCCTTAGAAACATTGTTTCAAATTTAAAGAGTATTACATTTTGATTGTGTAAAAGAAACATTGTTTCGTGTTTTAGAACAAAGCATACACTACATAAAAATACCATTACCCGTGTTTAACTGAACCTGCCCTATTAAACCTCAATCACTACCGATGTACTCGCTCCTAGCATTGAACAGTGAGGCAGCTGTGAGTGGATGAGTGCGTGAGTATGTGTTTACGAAACCTTTAGCAATATTCATACAACATCACGAAAGGGAACCCTAAAAAAGAGATTAATACATTGTAACCTAAAGGGAATCATACGTCTTTCCTTCTGCCTGAGAGTAAACGCATTAACCGCTAGGCTACTTCAGCGCCCCTAGACTTGGATTAAAATTTTTTGTATATGGTGTGCACATGTTTGCATACATATGACTGGTTTGTGTTTATATGACACTATCAACTTTTATACTGCATGTAGGGCTGTTTCGTGCTTATAGTCTGTGCATGCTATTATTTGACTGGGAGATCAAGATACACTCATCAACTCTATTCAGTAACAGTTTGGCTATCCAAATTAAAACATCTGTCCGATACGATTTTCAGATGACGACTGTTGCATTTTTCTCAAAGGAATCATTTCTCCGAAACTCTGTCATCTTATGACAGAAGCTTAAAAAATAGTTTTTGGATATGATATATTTTTAGCATTATCAAATCAATGTATTACTGTATTTACTAGAAATTGGATATAAGTATGTGTACATGTAGATTAATGAATAGATATGTGTTGTGATAAATGACAAAATATCTATTAGGATTATTAGTAGAAAATACATGACTCTTTATATGAATATATTTAAAAAGAAATTTCAATAAATAAACACGTGAGTTCAACATTGTTTTGGTTACCTTCAATCTGAACGTCTACAGAATCAGTACACCGTGGAATACACCGGTCAAAATAATCAAAATAAATGGGTATGTTAAATTCATTTTATTCATTTCATTATGTAAAGAACAAATCAATACAGTATAAAACAATCAAACATAAGGCATGACAAGCATAAGTCTCTAGTGGTAGTAATAGAGACTTGCTTTGCCGACGAATGACCCAGCAACTCCATGACCAACAAAGGGTCCACCGTGTCCATCAACACCGTATCCGACAACGAAAGGTCCATGTCCAGAAATGGTGCCAACATGTTCGTAAAGGCCCTGTCCAGTAACGAAAGGTCCGTGTCCAGCAACGAAAGGTCCGTGTCCTGCAAGACCAGCTCCATGTCCAACAGCAAATTTGCCAACGCCTTTACCGTAGCCGTAGCCGTTGTAACCATAGTTATTGTTGTATGGGTTGTAGCCATTGCCTGTGCCAGCAACACCAACGTTGCCAACGCCTTTACCGTAACCGTATCCGTTATAGCCATAGTTGTTATATGGTTTGTAGCCATAGCCTCCACTAGCAATACGTCCATTGTTGAAACCTACGCCGTATGTACCAACTCCGGCGAGCCCTTTACCATAGAGAGGCACCTGGGCCAGGACAGAGCAGACCAGCGCGGATAACACAGTAATGACGACCTGAAAACAGAACACTATTTGAATAACACGGTCATGAACATACAGAATATTCTTAACTCTTTGTCATTTGAAATTTGAAATAAAAATACGGGGATAACTATTTCACCGATGTCCGAATGAATTCATGATAGATTGACAATATTGCCTTGGATGTAATTCTTATGGTTTTATTTGATTAAAGCATTCGAACGTGGGCATATATCATCATTCAGAAAACATAAACATCAACTTTGTGAGAATCAAACAATAAAATATACATAATAAATAGGAATTCTATTAATTTCATATCGGGAAGCGTTCAAAAAGTTATAGGCCACGCACTTAGTTTTGAGTATGCTCCTCGTCACTATTTTCTCATTGTTAAGGCCATGTGCCGTTTGAAGTTAATGTCCACCCATACATCACAGATAAAGCTCAACCTTTCTTTTTCATTTTACATAATAGGTAATTTCATCAACCACAGTCGATTTGCAATATCCATAGTTGTATGTTGCAAGACGTTCTAAGGACGATTGAAAATACATCTGTTCATGAAAAGGATGCCAAGGTTAGACGTGACATTTCAATGAGAAATAAAGTAAATATTTCACCACCAGAAGCTGGCATGGCTGTGTAGGTAGCTTACCGTCATGATGAACAGACTTGAGAAGACGATACACAAGTGATTAGGTGATTGACGCTACCACTATGGTGTTGCCTGCATATATACTTACTTTCAACGGGGTCACGTGGTTGTTACCTACACAGCTAGACCGCTATTGGTGTACCACGTGACCCTATCATTTAACGGCTGTATGAAGAGTTGCGTAAATAACCATAAAATTGATCAATCGAAATTGACAAAACAATTAATTGAATGTAAGCAACACGAGGATACAGAAATAATAAAATAAGAATATGGAACAATGTTCTTGTTTTACCTTGATAAGATATTGATCTGGTTGTAAAAAAGTTTAATGTATCAATATTATAAATAGATATGTATTTGAGTTATTATCAGCATAACCTATCACCATGTATTTATTTCATAAAACATTGTCACTTGACCATCACCAACTTCGGTAGTTAACAATTTTCGTAGAGTATCTACAAATGATAAAACATTTGCAAGCACAATTTTATCAATTTTTCAAATATTTTAAGACATTTGTTGTTATTTTTTAAACCGAATTTGATGTACGATTGTGGTAACTTTGTTGACTGTTGGAGAAGAACTTAACAACTACAAGAATTTCAGTAAACGACACACAACATATCTTAGCAAGAAGGAAGTGTCACAAATGAATCAATAACATATCAAAATATGAATGCATTGGTGTTATCGGTAATGTTAATTGAATTGAGCCTAATATTATTTTCCCCATTAGGAGAATGGGACCTAACTGACTGGTTTGTTTGTTCATGGTACATTGATTTATGCAATGCAAGTAAAAGAATATTTTGTCTAATTGCAAACTTAGACGATTTTTTTTCTGATTTTATTGGACGTTTTCACAAAGTCAGTGTTTGTTTATACGTCTGTAGATGTAAGATGCGTTTTCAGCCAACCTAGGTCTGTCACATGACATTGAAGTTTAATCGAAATGGAAATAACACATTTTAAAAAATCCCGTACACACAAGAATGAATGCAGTGGTGCTAAAAGTGATGTTGTGAATTTACATTTAATTTTCCACGAGATAAACTGTAACAGTACTGTCTTTGTTTGTTCAAATAGAAACGAAACTTTATAGAAGTTGTGAAGTACAGTATTCAGCCCTTGCTGAGATGATGTTAAACCTTTGAAAAAATACATATATTTTACTTAAAACAAATACAGACGTATCTTAAATGCCTTCATTAACGCTGATATAAATTACGTGGATTAGGATCATATAAAAAGTAATTTATATTAATTACCTTGATCACAAACTGAAAAATACGTGAGTATTTTACGGCTACATCGATATGTTTAGATACAACTATTTGTGAACCTAAATTGTTTATTTTGTGTTTTTTAAACGCGTATGTTAAAGCATGTTGAATATAACAAAGATAAATTCAAAGCTCCAGTGATGATTACAACTGATTTTCACGCAACACCTTGTTTATGATTAACTTAACTCAGGTTCACCTATTAACTCATTAATCGCCACTGACGCTGGTTTACGCATTCATGCATGCTTCTTGTCAATAGAATGATGGCTACCATAAATAATGAATACAATGAAGCGACCCTGACCCCTGCAGAGATTAGGGATACAGGGGATGAGGTGGATGCAATCATTATGGCAATCGTATTCACCGACGTACATAAAGAGTTAAATTTATCCCCACAGGTGGCTAATGAGGCGTAGCGGCGTGCTTAAATGTTGCACCCGAATCGCAACAATTTAGATTAAACTAATACATTAAATATAAATATTATTATTTCAAATATACTATGTGATAATCATTTTTATGAACTAAATTAAATTCTGAGGTGTTTTTGTCATTTCGCTACTTTTATTATGTTGACGATCTTAAGGTTAATATGCCATTTGTTGACTAGTTGGGTGTCAAGCTTCTTGTATATAAAGAAGGAAGTGAGAGATCACCAGTTTCATCGATACCCTCATCATCAATCGCAGTGTTACGTGACGTTATATGGACATCCAGAATGAGCGTTTTGATTAACAGCCAGCTGTGTAAATCCGAACTCTAGCTAGCTATAAGTAATCTAGGTAAACCAGTGATTGGTATTGTGAGAAACGTTGAGCTACGATGATAACAGTGTCATCGAGCCTGAACACCTGATGAAATATTAAAAAAGTCGAAAATAAATCATTAAAATAGTTTTCGTACTTTAACCATCGATTTTACAAGATACACGTGCGAATTCTCGTTATATATCTTTAAACAAAGTTCTACTGCTTATGGTTTTAACTTTTAAAGAAAACGGCGAAACATTAACTACAGGGGACAATATGACGAAACATTTAGTGTTCCAAACATTTAAATAATATAACTCCTCAAAAGGACTATAGCAACATACTAATAAGAGGATTTATCAAAAACGTATCACTCACACAACGCATTGCTAATGATTCATTACAATTCTGGGGATAGAGAAGCGAGGTACTCCACGCTCGTCACGCCAAAGACCCGAGTTCGATTCCCAAGATGGCTACATGAAACCCATTTCTTGTGTCCCCCGCAGTGATATTGCTGGAATATTGCTAATGGCATCAGACACGGAGGTGGTGTTGCAGGACAGGGAACAATTATGGGACAAGGAGTTGCTCGCTTTGATCTATAACGTCGCTCGACCTTATAATTTTTACTACAGGACCATAGAGAATCAGGAAAGGTATAACCGTTCAAAATACACGCCCAATTCGGTGTTCAGAGTTGCGTCCCTTAGGCTTGCCAGGAAGCTATGATCATAGGTTTGTATAATATTTTCGCCATTATTATGTTTCTTGTTTTGTCTAGGTTTTTACCAAAGGTACACACGTCTAAAACCTGCATCACTTCGGACTTTCAAGTCTTGTTAAAACCGAAATTATGTTCAAAGTGGCATTTAGCCAAACTCACTCACCCAAAATACATGTCAAGTTTGCTTAATATATTATAGTTTAAAGTATTGAAGTTGGGATTAAGATGAACTGTAGAACATCATTTTATTCCAGCTGAATGGCTCATGAACGTGCATGTATCTGAAAGCTGACCGTCTACAGTACATTCACTGATCAAAACATCCTTGTTGTCATCTTTGTAGATATTTACGAAATACGAGCAAGTAATGTACATTAATATTGGGGCAAGTATGACAACTGGTTTGACAGAATCCATTTTCAAAGCAGTACTTCCTTATATAGTGTTATAGAATTTAGCATTATTGTAATGTTTGTAGTGAAATACTCAGATGTCGGTTTATACAGAGTAAAATATACTGAGTGAGTGAGTATGATTTTACGCCGCTTTTAGCAAATAGTCCAGCAAAATCACGGCGGGGGACACCCTAAAATGGGCTTCATACATTGTACCAATGTGGGGAATCGAACCCGGGTCTTCGGCGTGACGAGCGAACGCTTTAACCACTAGGCTACCCAAGGGCCCCAGTAAAATATACATGATAATGAATATGTCTTGGCCATTGTGTGTTGTTGCTATGCTTCCAACAGACACATAAAATGTTGTTAATAACATTTTAAAGGAACGACACCTTACATAGCAGTTACGAAAACATACACACACCGATCAACGCATACATACACATAGGAATGTACATTAACGAACGCACACATACACACAATAAACATCAACTTATACGTACGTTTTTGCAGATTTCATGTTGACCTCCAGAATACTTTTTATAACTTAGATTTACTCAGTGTTTGCATTATTTTCGCATACCTTTTCAACTACGCATTTGGGATTTGAGGGTTACTTTTCCAAAAAAGAAAATTTGATGTCACGACATATTGATTTTCTCAATTATTAATAGGATGTCGTCAATTTCAATTTTAACCAACTGTGTTATATCACGCAAATCGTGTTCAGTTGAAAAACAGTTTACTCGCACGTTGAAGATGCTGCTGATTTAATAAAGTGTTTTCTTGTCCATGCGTATTTGGGTAAGGCAAGCGACATAGAATCGAGAGTTGTTTTCTTATGTTTGTGACTCTTTCATAATAATGCTGCTGATGATGATGATAACACTGCTACTATTTACAATAATGATGATGATGATGATGATGATGTCATGGCGTGTCAGCTAAATGTGGGAGGTAAGCCCGAAGTGATGCAGGTCTCGGGCATTTACCACTTCGGTGAAACCCACGAGTTCGGCTATGGTGCTGACAAACCTAGAAACATAATCGGGGCGAACCAGGATTCGAACCAACAATCATAGGTTTCTGGCGTGCCCAAGGGACGCAACTCTGCACAGCAAATTGCAGCGCTGTATAATGCCCCCTGTAATACTGAACAATAACAATAAACTGTTGTTACTTAATATATCATATGGTGTTTATTCGAACTCATAAACAGATGAACACAGTATAAAACACATTCACACACCAGTCTACACATGCATACGACTCTATCTAATGCAAAAAATGTACCGGCATAGCAACACCTTGTGCAATGAAAGCACGTTAATAAACTCCGTGGCCTGCAACTCCATGTCCGACGAAAGGTCCATGTCCAGCAATGAAACCACGATTTCCGTTAATTCCATTCCCCACGAAAGGACCATGTCCAGCAACACCATGTCCACCAAAGGAACCAACATGGCCGACGAAAGGTCCATGTCCTACAAGACCAGATCCATGACCGCTGACGAAGTTACCAGGTGCACCCAATACCTTGCCGTAACCATAGTTGTTGTAGGGGTTGTAGCCGTAACCGTGTCCCTTACCAGCAACGCCGTGTCCAGCAACAAAAGGACCATTTCCTGCAAAGGAACCAACCCCTGAGAAAGTTCCGTGTCCTACCAGGCCAGCTCCATGTCCAGCGACATTGCCAACGCCTTTCCCGTATCCATAGTTGTTGTAAGGGTTGTAACCGTAGCCGTAGCCATGTCCTGTACCAGCATTGCCGTGTCCTGCAACACCGTGACCAACAAGAGAAGGACCATGTCCTGTGAAGGAGCCAACGTGGCCGACGAAAGGTCCGTTTCCGACAAGACCAGCTCCGTGCCCATAACCATAGTTACTGTTGTATGGGTTGTAGCCATAGCCTTTACCAGCAATGCCTCCATTGTTGAAGCCAACACCGAAAGATCCACCTCCAAGGAGTCCTTTACCACGGAGGGGTACCTGGGCCAGGCCAGAGCAGACCAGCACGGACAACACAGCGACGACGCACTAAAATTATACAAAACTAAAGATTAAGAATAATTATGTTTACACTTTATGTGTCACATTCTTAAAACTTCAAGAAATAATTTCATCTTAATCAGCATTCCTTTTCAGTATGAGCTTGTATTAAATAGTTATAAAAATATAAAAAGTTAATGTTCAAACATAATTTTCCAAATAGTTCCTGATGCGATATGTTTACATATTTGGCCAGGAAAGAGCGGATCTAGACCAGCACGGACAACACAGCGACGACGACATTTAAATACATTTTGTTTACTGTAATTGTACGTAAAGAGAAATAAAAAAAGAAAACATTTATATATATCTAGCTTTGTTTTGGGTGTCTTTGTTTGTCTTTATGACTGTTGCAACTCGTGGATTGTTCATTAATAAACAAAATTACTTTTAGTAAACTGGAAGAATATATAAAAAAGAATAATTTCTTCATGAAAATTAAAGATATGAAGAAGTCGTTTTTAATAACCTGAGTTACAGCTTTTCCATTCTATATGATATATTCAACCTGACTACATACCACCATACACATACTACACGAACATACAGCCAAGGCATCATAAACAAACAAACCTAAAACGAACAATCTAGTTAATTAAAAAACCTGTGTTGTGATGTGTATGTGTACCAGATACACATAAAAAACAAGCTTCTGTTATAACGAAGTAAATCGTATAAACGTAAATGTACGTAATAGTCTCTCTCTCTCTTTTTCAAATTTGGGCCGAGAGAAAAATGTACTTCTCAAGAAAAGTATTCAATGGCAGAGAAAAGTTCGACTCGCAGCACACACCCATTCATTTCACAATGTCCATTCACAGTTAATGTCTCTGTGATGTTTACTAGGATGAGGCTAACGTGGACAATGGCTGCTTACCTTCATGACTGGGCGAGTAGGGGCGACAACAGAAGACTGATACCTCTTGCCCTCGTGTACGCCAACATATATACACCTTCAACATTGTCACGTGATTGTTACCCACCAAGCGCGTTATGTCCCATGTAACCAGTATTAAACTTGTGATTGTAATTTTATAGTGTTGGCGTTAACGTGATTTTATCTGGCAATTGTTTTCATAATTGATCTATGAAACATGATTGGTACAAAGGCAACACAACCCGTTCCAAAATCAATTCTCTGCTAGGACAATATATACAATTGTTTCTACAGAGAACGTTTCAACAACATCTTTAAAGAACTGGAAAATATCAAATCCCAGAAAAAGCTTGCTCGAGTGACACGGTGCTTATTTCGAAAAAATAAGATTAATTTTGGTTTAAATAATAACATATTGTGTTTCGTATTTGCTTCCTCATATTTACTGTTATACGGACGTACCACTTTTACACACACCCACACCTGCACCCAATCTCAACCCACAGCTACACCCACACCCACACCCAAACCCACACCCACATCGAATCTCAACCCACACCCACACCCACACCCACATCGAATCTCAACCCACACCCACACCCACACCCACACCCACACCCAATCTCAACACACACATACACCCACATCCAATCTCAACACGCACCCACACCCACACGCACACCCACACCCACACCCACACCCAATCTCAACACACACATACACCCACATCCAATCTCAACACGCACCCACACCCACACCAAAACCAACACCAAATCTAAACCAGCACCCACACCCAAACTCACACCCACACCCACACCCACACCCACACCCACACCCACACCCACACCCACACCCACACGCAATCTCAACCCATACCTACACCCACACCCAATCTCAACCAACACCCACACCCACATCCATTTCAACACACGCACACACACGCACACGCGCACGCACAACCACATACATCTAACCGTGTCAATGGAGTTTCGTTGATGTGACAAATAGTCAATATAAAGTATTACTCATAAATGCAAAAAAAATTCAATGTTTGGAAGATGAACTCCAAACTTTGATACAAATTAAAGTATAAAGATCCGGTATACCCAATAATTTAGAGTGAATGAGTATGGTTTTACGCCGCTCTTAGCAATATTCCAGCAATATCACGGCGGAGTACACCAGAAATGGGGGTCAGATATTGTAACCATGTGGAGAATCGAACCCGGGACTTCAGCGTGACGAGCCGACGCTTTAACCGCGAGGCCATCCCCCAGCCTAATGTCGAAGGGAAAGTAAAATATAATGAAGGTGTTACATTACACCAGAGCGAGTGAATTTGACTTAACGCCGCTTTGAACAGTATTTCAGTGTCACTTTTATGTTGGAGGAAAGCCCGAAGTGATGCAGATCTTAGACGTTTACCACTTTGGTGAAACACACGAACAAGCGCATGGTGCTGATGAACAAAATCAGGCGAACTTGGGACTGGAACCAATGATGTTAGATTTCTGGCACATCAGCACAAAAAGAGGGAAAGTGTTGAATTCAATAGACGAGGATCCATCTTAATGTTTTTAACAAAGTTCATACAGTTTGTCAGATATTAGATTGTAGGCTTTAAGGTTTTATAAAATGAAATACTATTCGGAAGTACCTCTGCTACTTTTAAAACAAATATGGGATGTCACTCGTTTGTTCAAACGTCCATTATTTTACAGGAATAGGGAGCTGGTTGTCAATTACGTACATATGAAATTGAGGGAACAATTTTATTTATTTTCCGTTGTGATCATTAACACATTTCTCGTGCAGCTCGGAAGGGCGACTGAAAAATAACCTGACACATGAATTGTAATTAAAGATGCAGATTCCAATTTCTTTTGCCAAATAATTTCCCTTTTATCACACTGATATATAGTATTACATGAAGGTTCTGCTTTAAAAAGACACCAATCCGAAGAATTGCAGTTTTGTTGTTACTGTGGCCTGTTTTTTTCATTTGATGGTGGATATTTTGCCATCGATCTAATTTTCGCTTAAACACTTGCCCCTTCTATTTTGTTTGAAGTGGTACATGTACATGTCTGTGTATGTTTCTCTACATTCTCTATATCCGTCTAACGGTTTAAATGTACGATTTACCTTGTGAAAAAGGTTTTTATCCAAACAATATGTGCAGTTCAATATTGACTGTTGCAGACGCTTGTCATTCATGTGGGCAGCGGGCGATATACCACCCCCGCCCCCCCCCCCCCCCCCCCCACACACCCCCCCCCCCCCCCCCCACCCCCTTACCCCCTCATAACTTTCAATCTTTAATCAAATTGAAGAGGTGCGTATCATGATCAATTGAAAGACGAAGAGGCTATCGCTCCAGCGATCTAAGACACCGACGAACATTAATATGTGTTTATGTCCTCCCAAGAGGCTAACGAGGCGAAGCGTTGGTATTAACTATAGAATCAAAACCACAATCCTTTCTGAATTCTAAATAAATTAACATATATACGTTCTTACGTTTTCATTGTAATGGTGATGATATCCATTAGAACCATTTGGGGTTATTATCAGCTAAGCAGTCTCCTACGTATGTACTCATGTGACCCTACATGTAACCTGTACATGTATATAAGTAGGCATATCTCAGATGGAAACGTCACTCGCCTTGACGTCACCTCTCCAGTCAGCTTTTGTTCATCAGACAAGATCATGAAGGTAAGGGCGTACAAAGTGTATATTACCCAATTTTGTAATATCCGAAGTTCATTCCTTCCTATATATTCGGTCGGGTAGCCTTGTGGTTAAAGCGTTCGCCCTTCGCGCCGGAGACCTGGGTTCGATTACCGACATGGGTACAATGTGTGAAGCCCATTTCTGGTGTCCCCCGCCGTGATATTGCTGGAATATTGCAAAAAGAGGCGTAAAACCATACTCACTCACTCACTCACTCCTTTCCGTTGGCTCCTTTTGTTGTCTTTCGTGTTTGTTATTATTTCGATTATTGTAGGTGCACCATTGTAGATGCCCTAGTTTAAATGTTTAATTTATTTAACAAATTTACGTTTCGATTCATGATGTATTATGTCGATAATTGTAGATACTTGTGGTGTATGACGTTTATATTTACAATATACGGTACGAGTATCCTCTTACAGCGTTTTGGAGATCTTGCTCCCTTGAAAACCCTCTTAAATTTTCTGAAATATTGTATGTCTGCCAAAAAAAATAATGTTTATTCAAATAATATTGGTTATATTGGATATTATTTGGAAGAGTGGGTGAGAGTATGGTTTTAGCAGTATTCCAGCAATATCACGACAGGGGACACCAGAAATGAACTTCACACATTGTACCCATGTCAGGAATCGAACCCGGGTCTTCGGCGTGACGAGCGAACGCTTTAACCATTTACATATTATATATAAATATTATGAATATTATTTAAATATTATAACGTTAGAATATGAACGTACAATAGAGAAAGAAATGCCGATTATGACGAATTTACGAATGTAAGACATCTAGCTGGGACAATTTTAACAGTTTGAACATAATCTTTTTCATATATACTCACAATAACGAAAGAAATGCCGATATGATGAAAATTTTTATTTTTGAAATTAAAATGTAAACATCCAATAAATACAAAAATGCCGAATAGGGTTTCCCGTCTTTCCTTAATTTTACATGAATGTTAAACATTTTAACAAAATATTAGGAACTATTTGGAAAACGATGTTCAAACATCAACTTTTTATGACTAATATCAGCTCACACTGAAAAAGAACGCTGATTAAGATGAAATTAATTCTTGAAGTTTTAAGAGTGTGACACACATAGTGTTAACATAATTATTCTTAATCTTTAGTTTTGTATAATTTCAGTGTGTCGTCGCTGTGTTGTCCGTGCTGGTCTGCTCTGGCCTGGCCCAGGTACCCCTCCGTGGTAAAGGACTCCTTGGAGGTGGATCTTTCGGTGTTGGCTTCAACAATGGAGGCATTGCTGGTAAAGGCTATGGCTACAACCCATACAACAGTAACTATGGTCATGGGCACGGAGCTGGTCTTGTAGGACACGGACCTTTCGTCGGCCACGTTGGCTCCTTCGCAGGACATGGTCCTTCTATTGTTGGTCACGGTGTTGCAGGACACGGCATTGCTGGTACAGGACATGGCTACGGCTACAGTTACAACCCTTACAACAACTATGGATACGGGAAAGGCGTTGGCAAATTCGGTGTAGCCGGTCCCTTCGTCGCCGGACATGGAGCTGGCCTTGTAGGACACGGAGCTTTCTCAGGGGTTGGTTCCTTTGTAGGAAACGGTCCTTTTGTTGCTGGACCCGGCGTTGCTGGTAAGGGACACGGTTACGGCTACAACCCCTACAACAACTATGGTTACGGCAAGGTATTGGGTGCACCTGGTAACTTCGTCAGCGGTCATGGATCTGGTCTTGTAGGACATGGGCCTTTCGTCGGCCATGCTGGTTCCTTTGGTGGACATGGTGTTGCTGGACATGGTCCTTTCGTGGGGAATGGAATTAACGGAAATCGTGGTTTCATTGCTGGACATGGACCTTTCGTCGGACATGGAGTTGCTGTCCACGGAGTTTATTAACATACCTTTATTGCACAAGGTGTAGTCGGACCCTTCGTCTAAATTACCGTAACCAGAGTCGTATGTTTGTGGTGCCTGATGTATGAATGTTTTTATACTACATTGTATTTGTTCATCTGTTTATGAGACAATAAACACCTTATGATATATGATGTAGCACTGTTTATCTGTCACAGGTAGCTATAACGATACATGATACATGACCACTGACCACGTCACATGTCAAATATCGAGGAAACCTAACATGTTGCCACAAAACACAAATAACAAACTTAAAACAATAACACACAATGTACATGTTCGTTCTTATTCGTCAGATCTTTTCGATTGAATCCTGTTACCGTTTTAGCAAACAAAATTGGAATAACGATACGATGAAATGTCGAACTGCTGATAGTCTTATTTAGTGAGGCCATTCGTTGACTACAGTGGACTTTCTTTTCTGAACAAGCCACCAGTTTAATAACTATCACATTTGCAGATAAACCCAGTGACGCTAGAAATATCACGATGATGTAAATAACAGGGACAAAACCATGTCCATAAGCAAGAGAAATCCCTGTCCATAAGCATGAGAAAGCCCTGTCCATAAGCATAAGAAATCCCTGTCCGTAAGCAGGAGGAAACCCTGTCCATAAGCATTAGAAATCCCTGTCCATAAGAAGGAGAAAACCCTATCCATAAGCAGGAGAAAACCTTGTCCATAAGCAGGAGGAAACCCTGTCCATAAGCATGAGAAATCCTTGTCCATAAGCATAAGAATTCCCTGCCAAAAGCATGAGAAATCCCTGCCAAAAGTCGATCGTACGATTCTGACTACATCATGAGGATAATTGCGTTTATGAATCGCAATATAGAGACGATACCAAGTGTTCGCGAAAAGGTGAGCACATCCTGCCCCACCGGTGGCACCCCGTCACAAACACATGCAAAGATAGGAAAAAAACACGACAGGCAAAAAAGTCAAAATAGGCAATTGCATCATTATTCAGATATGATTTTGGTTCCTGATACGTCAAATTTGGACATGTCCTTCACATGTCTACCATCAAACTTTCTGAAAGGTTTAGTAAGGCATTGAATGTTGCGACAACGTTTGAGCAAGAAGTGTATGACTTTCTGTGAAAACTTTGTAGACAGAGTAGGTTTGATTGTACGTCAAAAGTTGTAAAATGTAAACAACCAATTGAGGCTGGAGCTGCGGGGCTGTAGCTCGGCCTAAAGGGAAAGTTAGAGTGATCCCTATTGTCATACAGTCTTGGGGATAGTTACTTTTTGTTATTCTGAAATCGTTATGCATAGACCTAATATGAAACAGATAGGACAGTTTTAATGATCTCTTTTCTAGTTCAGGGTGGAATTGGCTATGTCCATTATTGAAAGATATCAGATCATCGCAATACACGAAGCTTTAGTCAAACCTCTTGGCCAAATCCTTTGTTTTGATTTTGCCAATCCGCAGAGAAATTCTAACTCGTATGCATAAAGAAACAGACCTGCAAGGAGGGGAACACATTTGGTGCCCAATGGCATGCCTACTTCTTGCTAAATGTCCTTTCCCCAAATTTCACGAAGATGTTACCTATGACAAATTCAGTACTTCATATATTGTTTTCTCATTTCATATCAGATGACAGATTTTTTTAGATTTTTTATTTTTTTATTTCATTTCTATCATATTTTAGATTTCAGTATCATACAAAACTGCAAAACAGATGATTATGTTTGAGTAACAACAGGATTTAAGTACAACATTTCTACCCATAGGTGTCAAGGCTCTCTTTTCCGACATTTTCATTTCCTTTTCTATCTTATCAAAGTTGTTTGTATAGTTTAAATTAACCACATTTTCCAAATCAACATAAAAATCTATGCCTACTAACTTAAACTGAGTTTGTGACCAGTCAAATATCCAGTCCTCACATAACTTATATCTACATCGTATTTTTACCCTATCCATATCAACTTATTTTTTCAGCATTTACTTTCAATCCCCAAAACCGGGCAAATAGATTTAACGTACTCATTGAGGTATCGAGGCTTTCTTCAATTCAACCTAAACTTAATGTAGAATCATCTGAAAATTACACTGCAAACACGAAAACGTCGTTTTTTTCCGTATATGGTCATTGGACGGAAAAACGACTAAAAATTCATTAAAATTGATTAATTGGTCAGCGTCTAGAAAGTGTCCAGAAAAGGGTCGAGTTTTTCAAGCGTAAAATGGACGGAAAAACGATGCTTTTTGCTCCGCCTTGTACAACTGTTAACGGCCAATCAGATGGCGCTGGTCCCCCGACGCACGTGATGTCCAAGGCTTCCTTTCGGAAGCTTTAGGTTTCGTATTTCTGGCATGCCTTGCTCTAGTATCTGTCGCGCGCAGTGCAGCGAGATTTGCTGATAAGCTAGTTTTAGGATATGTTACATGTTAATGGAATTCAGACACGCGCCAAGAAGTCAAACCAAACAATGTTACTAAGTTTATTGTGGTAACGGCTATGTACAGTTACCCCTATCGGATAATGGGTTGTGTTTCATTTGGTTATAACAATAACTATTTTTTTATGTGAAGTTTACAAGATTTACGACTTGGACGCGAGGTCGGTCACATGACGTTCTTCACGTGACTGTATTCTTGAAAAGGCGTAAACACTGACTACTTCCACATTCCTGGGGAAAACCCTTGGAATTCCCTGGTGCGAATTCATACAGAAGCGTGGTTGCAAGCCCATTTAAGGATACCCTCGCTACAACCCATCCCAGAGAGAAAAAACACGAAAAGAAATCCAAACTGTCGCAGTGACAATTTACAGAAATCTATGAATTTACCTTAGTATCTATTTGACTCATCTTCACAATCACCTTTCAATGATCGGCCAATTGATCAGTGATGCCAAAGGCTTGAAATAGCCACAGGTTAATTAACAACTTCGAAAATATCTCCCGTCACGTTTATCGTGTCGGCCATTTTGACGTATTGTACTTGATGTAAATGTATTACGACGCTCTGTCATTGTAATTGACTTACTGAGGTAATTCTGTAAAAGATCTTCTCATCTAATGAGGATATTGTTTGGAATATATTTCTTGTAAACATACTAAAACATATGTTCCTCGCTTTGGGGGGAACTATTTTATTCCGGGGTGGCCCATTAAATCTAGTAGTAAGTCAAGGCACCATGCGTGATCTGTTATTTTATGTGTTTAAATTACGATTTGGGGCGTTAATAAAATACACTGACGCAAGTTTATTCTATTCAAATCAATTGGATAATTGAATATGCTTTCTTTTACATATTACATAACATCACTGCACAAAATATGAACAGTTGCAGTAACACACTACGGTAATCGCATTAAACATCATTTTCAACTGTACAGTATTTCAGTATTTCAGTTATATCATGGTGTATCAGACTGATGTGGGATAAAAATCCGAAGTGGTTCAGGTCATCCAATGGGTGTTCGGGAAAAGGTGAGCGTATCCTGCCACACAAGAGGCACCCGTCACAAACACATGCAAGGACAAGTCAATTGTTCACCTGAACAAAGCACGGAAACACACAATGATGCCCGTCCTCAGTTTTACCAAGCATGTAAATTATTTTGTCCGTCAAAAACATGGACGAGTATAAACAATATGTTCATTCACGTAATACATGTCATACATTTGACAAAATGTATTGACTCGGAGCATTATTGTTAATCACAGCGTATGCAGCTGAACTCATCACCCATCCCATTATTGATAACCCTTCTTGAAGATCTATGAAATCAGAAGCTGCAACACTCTATCTTTTAACTGGCATGTCAGACTTCTATTTCATTACTCAGTTTTATTTGCACGGATTACTATGGAAGGGACATTGTCTCGTTGTCGCATTGTCGAATTGACGCCTTTACAAAAACAAGCAAAACGTGTCAAAATTAACAAAAGCGCCACAATTGGCCATTTGTCGCATTGTCGCGTGTTCGCATTGTCGCTCTTTGATAATCCTTTTCTTTATTTTACAAAAGGGCGACGATGCCGTAACGCGACATTTTCAAGGTCAAAATATGTCTCGTTGTCGCATTGTCGCCCCATCACAAATGTGTATAAAAGGCGTAACGTTCAGTTATTTTTACAGTTAGGAAGTTTAACCTGATAAATGTACGCCTTGAAATGAAAACACAAGTCCGTCCGCGAGTCCATAACGTTTTATTGTGAGCTCTTCTCTAAAAGTGCTTAGTGTTCAACTCCCAGTTCCAAACACGTAGTACCTCCTCAATAATCCACATACCTCCAGTGCAGTGGTCTTTCGGAAGATATTACTCTTGACCGTATTAGACAACGGACGAGTGCACGCCTGACCTGTGACCTCGTTGCAACCCTCGTGATGTGTTTGCCGAAGGGAGAGGTGTAGGAAATGTGTGCTCCAGCCCAGCGCAGAGCTCGCGACACACTGTATACTGATGTATACAGTATATTGCAATTGATATACTGTATACTGCATGTGATACTTATTTGCGGGAATGTTACAACTTTCAAGATTCAAGATTCAATTTGCATATATTTCATATACAACAGACCGCCGTCATATATCACTGGAATACTGCTGAGAGCGGCGTTAAAACAATTTTTTTCATAATGGAGCGCTGCAGTCATTTAAAATAGAACCGTATACATATGTACATGTAGTACCAACTCACTCTATTTGTTTCGAATATTCAGCAGAAAATATATTATTAACCAGGTCTTTGGGAAAAGATATCAGATTTTTATAAGCAGCCACATAGGGATGATAAAGGACCCCTCGCTGATTAGGTTCTCGTTTACTTAAGAGCAGAGTTGGCCATGTTAGATGATATAACCAAAATCCGGGAGCTCCGGCGGGGGGCAAGCTGGTCTTGTTAGTGTATGGTATGAGCTGTGACGTTGACCCAAGAGAATAATGTAAAACATGCATATGAGACCAACTCAAGTCTATAATGATTGGGAAAGTCTAGATTTCCACAGCTCTAGCCTGAAATTAAGAATTGTTCTATGCTCCATTTTAATTGTATTATTTTCATTTTGTAGACATGGATGGACCAACCAGGAAAGAAATTGATGGAATATTAATATCACATGTTACCACTGATCCCGTTAAA